CATTGTTCGTACACTGTGCGAAATAGTTCTTCCAAGATTTGGTCGGAGGAGGAAGAAGCGATGCTTTTTGGCGTTTGAAACTTGCACGTCCTGATAAGGTAATACATATCTAATCTAAAATCCCCCCCCCCCCTTTTATCTTCAATCTCTACATAAAAGGGGAAATTAGTAATGCTTCTCGAGAGCTGGTCTTTTTTTAACACGGTTCTTGAGGTGAAAACGAGTCTAGTAATATTGATGAAAGCACTTCGTATGTAACAGCGAATGTACATTTTTTTTATTTATTAATTTGCATCCTCTACCTTGACCTTGACTTGTGTGGTGACGGGGAAGGGAACGAAGGAGTTATCTATTGAAAATTTGTCTGTGGGGTCCACTATGATTTTTAGAGGTTTTGGCGTACCCCTCAAATCTTTATGACAGGTTTAAGATGTACATAGAAGTTTTCTAAGAGGCCTCACGAGCCCTTCAAAAATTTTCGGATGGTGTGAGAGGCTCGTCATAGTTTTGTGAGAGGCCGGTGGGGCCTGTGACCTTCATTCCCCGGAAAGCACGTGAATCATCGAAGTAGTTTTAACGGGTCTGTGTGGGAGATCACGTGACCCTTTCAGGTTATATGCGTTGGAGAAGCCGCTTCGCCATTTTGTATGGAGAGGCCGCAACGAACGGTCGCTCGGTGTCGGCTTCCCGACCCACACGTGGATCTATCTCCTGAAGCAAATCAATGTGCGGATAAAACAGGTCTCCTAATGTCCTGTTTATTCAGCCTATTGGTCCTTCTGGCTTCATAAGCTCGTTCAGCAAGCAAAAAAGACGCTGGGAACGCCCCCGCTATGGCACCAGTGACGTACGTACGACGCCTCGACAGATATTGTCAACGGCGACGGATGTTGTTTTCGCGTTCGTGGTTTTCGCTAAACGTGTAATGACAGTGTGTGCGTATGTGTGGTACACCCGCTCGTTGAACTACAGTACATCTTAGTAATTTACACAGTGGTCGTCTGAGTACATCGAAATATATCTTGGTCACAAAAAACTCTGTTACCACTATTTGCTCTGTTCGCTTCTGTCTAGAGCTGCTTTCTCCCGGGTTTTAGTACACGTAGGTTCTTGACGGTTTTCTTAATTTTAACAATAATGTAAAAGTCAACGTCAAAAGAGTAGACTTTCAATGATGTTCTAAACAAGGAATTTTTAGAATATGGTTCACAGTTGTTTGGGCGTCTGCAAGCTGGAAAGGCTGAGGGGTGCTGAAAGGTTGAAGGACCTGAAGGACTGAAGAGATTTGAAGGGCCGAGGGGTGTGTTTGGCTGGGCTGAAATATATTTTTAACGGAAAAACGCAGAGGTCCGGGGGGGGGGGGGGGGGGGGGGTTGTGGCGAGCGTTCACCTCTCCTTAGTGTCTTGACATCGCAGTCATAAGGGTAACACTATCTCCCATCGCCCTTCATCTGCCGAACACTACTTATATTCGATTCCCGGGTGCAACCAGAGCGATTCGAGGGCAGCCCGGTCTGATTCAGTCGTTCTGGCTGCAGTGCCGTGCGCCTAAATGGCCGGAACGATGGACCATAGAATCGTATATAGGGGATGTAGCTGTAAATTCCTAGACGGCGTGCCGGGTGGTGACCGTCCATCCTGCCCTGCGCATCTTCCGTGTGTCGTCGTCCTCCGGGGCCGCCAGGGCGCCACGTCTTCTTGCCGCCGCCATCTTCGCCTCCATGGCTGGGTGATTGCCGTATTGGTTCATATTTTACAAGTATGATGCGTTATCCGCTCTGCCAACGTTCTCAATGATGTGGGCATGTTCGTCGAGTGGCACGAGGGCATGGAAAGCCTTGTACCTACGGACCCGAGCCCCAGTTAGGAACCTGTTCAAGTCAATGTGCAAGAGGTGAATCTCCACATGGTAAGGCCCCCGGTGTGTCCGGGCTCAGGACCGACTGGATTTCACAGGATTCTGTGGAAGCTTTCGTGCCGTCGGAACTTTCCACGGATGTTCTGTGAGCGTTCATAGGACATCTTTGCCAACTGGGTTGTTTGTTTTGCCGCCCTGCACCGCTTGATGGGTGAGTATGTTCCCCGGAATGGAAGAATGGCCTGATATTTAACAGATCCCACGGAGACGCCCTTCACTCGTGGGTTCTAGCCTTCGCAGCCTGAGAACCTTGTGGTTTGATCTGACCGCGTTTACGCACTCACTGTGCGCTTCTAGGCTATCTGAAATCCCAGATGTTCTTGAGTTTCCGTCTATTCGCCCCTGTTACGTGCCCCGTTGAGGTTATCATCGAGCTCTGCCGTCTTAAATGCCTGCAGCCACTCAGCCCTTGCTTTCTTGTTTCCTCCTCGTCGAAGAAATGGTGGGCACCGGTCCACGTACCATCTTTTTGTCCCACCGCGTCCGTGTAGACGTAGGCATTGGTGTAGTCATGTGTGGCCCCTTCGTCTCATTTTTTGTGCCGCCTGACCTCATGGTTGCTTCGCCCTTGCTGGTCCTTGCCCATGCAACTCACCGTCAGCGTAAACTCGGTGATCTGTATTGTCTCTTTGTTATTTGCCTTCTATCTGAGTGGAGGGAGCCTTCCCAGTGCCGTCCCTCTGCACATACCTCAGGTCCTACCTTCCTGTCGCCTTTGCCTTGGTAGGGTCTATATTCGCACATTTGTTTGCCTTGGCTTCGTATTCTAGCGTGTTGTATTTCGAGCGAATGTGGAGGTCTCGTGCCATCGTCATCCACAGTAGCCCACTTATTAGCCTCATTTTCCACCATTTATAGTGCCGACCTTCGCATATTGGGCCTGGAATGTGCTAGTGTAATTGCACATAGGCGTACATCATCCGCGATGCTATGAGGGTACGGACAATGCCGCTTGGGTGTCTTTTTCGGTCGTGCCCCACGTCTTGGTGGCGACTGTTTTTATGAGGCTTTGCAAATCTTTTAGATCCACAATTTGCTTCCTCTGGCTTGGTGAGAAATGCTAGGACGCGTGGGGCGTTGCTCCTAGTCAGCTTCTCGTCCAGTTCCAGCTTACACTTAAAGGGATGCTGAACCGAAATCTGCATTCCCGAAAACACGCGGCAAAAAGGTGCAACGCGATGCTACAAACACCAAAACATCACTCATACAGCGACATCTCGAACGGATGACCGCATTTTTCAAAACAAAGAGGCGCATTTGGCAGGAATGTTGACGTCATGTTTCTCCGAGAAGGAGAGAGAACGGCCTCGCGTCTTCTCCGCCTCGCGGCCTTGAGGGAGCGAAGCGAAGAGAGGAGGAAACTAGGTATCTTGACGGTCACGCGCCTCGCCGGCCTGGTTCAATCTCGCCTTCTTTTTGCAAAAATACGGCCGTCCATTTGCGATATCGTCTTACTAGTAGTGTTGTAGGGATTGTAGCGTCCCGCCTACATCTCCAGCATTGTTTTTTTTTTTAATCCAAATTATGGTTCATCATCCCTTTAACATCGTTTTCCTCTGTATCAATTATTCCGAATCTAAAAACAAAATTATTATTATGACTATGGTTTGTTTGAGTTTTGCATGATCATTAGTTTTCTTGTATTTCTGCAAGATGGCCAGTTTTATTTTGTTTCCTCAGGCCATCCCATAGTCATGTACTATTGAAAGAAAATACGCAAGCGATGTGGCTGAGAAAGGCTACACAAAAAGGTCAAATATTTTACCAGGGGTACTTGATTCCTCTAGAAATCATTCGAAAAAATTACCAGAGATTGTATTTATGTTTATTGTTCTTTTTTTCGTCCGCGAGATTTCGAGTTTCAATAGTTTCTTTTCATAAGAAAACGAACAATGATTTAGGAAAATGCTACGGTTATACAGGGTGTTGATTTTAATTCGAACATATTTTTACAAAGAAGGTAAAAGTGCTCTCTTCACCACGTATTTATTATGCTCGACAGGCATTAGATGAGGGAATAATCATCATGGTAAGTTGCCTAAGTAACTATATTATGTTAATTAACTTTTTAATTATTGGGTTTTGGGTTCTTTTTGCAATCGTAGTATTGACGGCAATTATTATCGAAGGTCAGGCCAATATTAATATTTCCGAAAAGTCGATGATTGTTTAGATATTAAGCAATAAATATTCACTTTCATTATAGCCTCATTGAAGTATTTCGCCTGGAAAGAGCATGACAAGTCATGTCCACAATGAGGTTTGGAAGAGTGACGTAGTCCTTTTAACAATGTCACTATCTGGGCAGCATGTCCTTGGTTGGTGCACCGACAGTACAAGTGACGACGTGACTGAAACGAATAAGTCACTCTTCTAAGCGTCATTGTACGTGGGCCAGACTTGCGAAGCTTTTTTTATGCACAACTTCTAAATCGGGCTAAAAACGCGAAGCATTATCGATGAACGTCAAAAACCCATTACCTCTCCGCTAATCCTTTCAACTTGTCTGGCCTCCTGTAGCAATTGACATCAGTACTGCAATTGCAACATGACCTTTAAAAAAACAATTAAAAAATAGTTAATTAACCGATTTTGGGTCATTATTCAACTTATCACGATGATTATCTTCTCGTCCAATGTGCGCCGAGGCTGAAAAATAAATGGTGAAGTTCGCATGCGTCTAACTCTCACCCACTTTTTTTTAAAGATCAAATGGAATTAAAATCAAACACACTGTGTCGTGTGTATTTCCATGCATCCTGAAGTTAATCTGCATCAACGGGCGACTTGTGTCTCAACAGTAGATGAGAAATTAAGTCAGTGCAGTACAACGGCTAGCCTGCGGTCTTTAACATGCATTACGAAGTAGCGAAACACGACCGCACGCCGGTATGATGCTCATCCAGATCGAAATCAAGCACACAATATATGTCCTGCTAACTGTATTCCTGTGTGCTTCAGGTGGTGGCCAGCAAGCATCGGAGACCTTTGTGCCAAGCCTGTGTCTTCAACGACCGCAAGTCAACTTCTAGTCGGTGCCTGGAACACTAGTCCGTTCTAGTCTTACCTCAGAGAAACTACCATGCCGAAGATAATCCCTAGAAGCGATATTTTGTTCCTTGGACACATTCTTACTGGTACGATGTTTTTTATCCAGGGTACATGGTGGGCCATGAGCGCCTGGCACGCCTACAGCCTTCGACGACACCGAAAGGGTTACTATGCCCAAGGAGCTTACCTTGTGCTTCCTGGAATCGGGCCAAGGTGTATCGAAGGTTTCTTCAAGATTGCGTGTGGGATCATTGGGATATTTGCGTTTGGCAAGTTATTAATCGCCCATGGTCTCTTTGAGGACGCGAGGAACGCGCAGCATATAACCTTTTTCATGTCCCTTTTTCTGAGCGGAGTTTTTGATCTCTTAACTGACCACGGCGCACCCTTGCCTCCAGGAACCGACTACGTCGGTTTGTTGATGGTCTTTTCTATTGAAGCGCTACTGTTATACTTTCATCTGGATGGAAGAAACAAGTTGGACGTCCTTTTGCACACGCTAGTTTTCCTCACTGTCGCGTCAGAAGTGGTTTGTATCGCCATAGAAATGGTTCGACGACGAAGCGTTCTCCCAACATTAGGCAGGACATTCTTTTTAATTTTGCAAGGGACCTGGTTCTTGCAGATCGCCTTCATCCTGTACAATCAACTACCCGGTACTCAGCCTTGGGAAGATACCCACGAGAGCTCGATGCTTGCGTCCGCTGTATTCACGTGGCATGCCATCGGAGGGATGCTTTACCTCGGCCTGGTCGGTATCCTAGTGTCGGTGTGTTCTACGAAACGCATCGAGTCAAACGAAGCTGGAGTCGTGTACTCCGCCCTGTAGCCATTTCATTCTGCTAAGGTTAATTTTCTGTGTGCCTTATACGGTGTGAGGACTGACGGTATAGCCGACAGCAGCGGAAATAAAAACGCCCAGCTGGAACACAGTAATGCTGTTTTTCAAGACCGGTATCGAGTGAGGTAGCACTTACGACTCAATATAACGAAAGTCTTCTTTAGTTTCCCTTTACTTTAGCCCTGTCATTGCGCTGTTTGTGCTTTCAGTGTTAGTAAAAGTTTCTTCTTGGTTCTTCGTACTTGTCTGATGACGATGGTCCTCGGCGTCTTCCGTTTGTGACCTCAAATTCAAGAGCCGTTGAATGGTTGATGTCTTCACGGTGTTTATTGGTTCGAATAATGCCTGACTATGTACGTTCATTCCAAAAAGTCAGGGACCCGGCATTATTGCTGCGCGCCTCCAAGTCCGCGAGCGCGCCCAGCTCATACGCCAAAATCAACAGTTACACGAAAGGAAATGACACACTGCAACTAACTGCCCCGCACGGCTTACGTAGTTAAGCAGTTGCTAAGGCGGACCGACAACTCTGCGTCAACGACAAAAGTAACGCGGCGAACCGCGGGAGAGATCTACTCGACCAGCCGGGTCCGTTCAAACTCGCCTCTCACACCCTCGGTCAGGGCTTAAGACAGTGCGCCGGAACCCGCCCTGTCCAATGAGGGTTTAATTCGAATCGCATTGGGTACGGGCCCCGACACCCTCTCGACCAATCGTATCAGAGGCCACTGCCGTTGCCGAAAGGCCCATTAAGATCGGGTCCTGCGGTTGAGTGTCTAAGCCCCGACATGTTTACAGTGAGAATCGCCGACGCGTGCCTCACCCGAAAACGCTCCATCATAGCAGAGCGTGGGCAGAAGCCTCCAAGCAAACTAGAGGCGCGCCGGACACATTTGTGCGTCTGGGGCAGCCGTTTCGCGAAGAATCCCACGATGCTGGGTCCACGCCGGCGCGTTCCCACGTGCAGCCCCCGGTGCCCTTCCGGCCAACGTCCCGAATCACCGGAACCTGACGCAAGGCTTTCGACCAAGTCACTCGAGCTCGAGACGCGGCCAAGTCTCTGAACTGGCGCGACAGCCGTTGACAGCAGCCCTTCGGTGCCCGGCCGCGTTGATTCGCGTGCCGACGGCTTCGGGAGCGAGAACCAATAAGAAAAGAACACACCCGCCGGTGCAGCGGCAACAACATGCACACTATTTATCGCGGCCTTACAGTGTTGTTGTTTGACAAAATGTTTGCATTTAACTAGTAAGCTAACTAATACGCGTGCAAATAATATCGCGCCCGTAAAACGCTTTCTTTTGTCACCCAGAGATTATTGTGAATTAAACTGCGTAGGCCAGATTCAACCGGGCACCTTATTCTAAACCGTCGTGAGGTGGACAGGTGATGAACATGATCAGTTCGTGCTCGGTCAGTATAGTTTGGCTACCACTTGCTTTAATTGAGACATTTTGCGGCTTTGGACCCGTACAAAACAACAAACGAAACTACAAGTGTTAATAACCTGAAGTGAAGGATGCAGGCCATAAAAACCAGCCGACACTGCTTAGCGCTTTAATTAGCAAAAGTTTAAAATATAACAAAAATGGGCTTAGATGTTAATAAAACGTTTCACAGACTTTTAAAACTGAATGCAGAATGTTCCTAGTTGGAAGCGAAATTGCACTTTCACGAATATAGCGTATTGCAATGCCAACCTAGTCACTGCGCGTAGTTTATTTCAGTCAAACATGTTTACATTGCGATTATATCTGCGTTTGTTGATGTTGATAAAATAGCAGAGTTATGACTGTATTATAGTGTTGTTTGTTTTAAAATGATTCCTCGTCGTAACTATATTTGACGGCTGTCAACTTTTCGTTTTATACCGTGCAATAGCTGTCTGACTGAGGTTTTGAAATTTGAGTGTTTTTATCGTTTCATGACGTGTTCGACAGTGTTGCGGAACGGGTACGCCCCTTCCGTTCCAATTCCAATCCGGGAAATTAGAGTTGCCGACAATTTCATTACTTTCAGCTCTTCGGAATTACGACACGGGGCCCATACACACTCCATGGAATGTCTGAACTCCATTATTTCATTCCTCTAATTCCTAAACATGAAAAAACTGCCTTTAAGAACCTCATTGTGTTACTGAAAAAAAAAAGAGCAGTTTGAAGTTGTTGACGTTTTGAAACGCAGAGACGACTGCGAAAGTAGGCAAAACTTCCTCAAATCACTCATTTTGCCAAGCCGAAGGGTGGCTGCACAAAGCGCATCGTGGCACTTGGTGTCCCTGCAGAAATCAATTGCGCGACTAAGCGTAATAGGCTCGTGAGTCGCAACACGCACGAAAAATAAAAACATCCTGATTTTCTTCCCAAACGGACCGTATACCCTCCAGATATATACATGTTTAGTTGTTTGTTTGATGAGGTCTTAAAAATGTCTAGTTCGTGCGTGGCGCAAGAACCTCTCTTGCTGGCTGATTCGAATAGTTACGCAACAACACGGCTAGTTTGCTGCTAGAATCGATACCGAAATCCCCATGCACTGCGGCAAGAACAGAAAACCGCCGACAAAGTGCAATCGGTCTACAGCGCCACACTCGGGACTCTAGCATCATATTATGGAACCTTCTTTAAAACGTAAAAGCTTACGTTTGCTGTACGATTCTTGCAATTTCTTAACATAATAAATCAATTTTTTTTATTTGTTTTTGTCGCGAACATTAATAGATCGGCTAAGTTGAAAGCAGGGAGTTGAAGCAGTCATTAATTCGGTTCGTTTCGGTTCGGGTTTAGTAGCTTTGCATTCAATTTGTTCCGGTTCGGTTCCAGTTCAGTGATGCTTTCGAAGCACCAATTCAGTTACCGGTTCCACAAAGCGCGAACCAGTTCAAACCAGTTCTTAAAAAAAACTCCATTTATAAAAAAAAAAATGTGATTTTAATAGTGCGTCATCTGCAATAAAGAAACGAAAAGGTCATCAGAAACCGTGCTGCGAAACAAGGACAGCAAAGGAAACATATGCCTAGTTTCGTTATGTGATCTTGAATGTTTATCGCAAACAGCGTTCTACAAAATTAGAAATGGCTATACAAGCTCTTGGAAATAGTACAAAAGTACAGTATTCACATGTGAAGTCAATCAGCTAGCACGTACAGTGACTCCGTGACGGTAGCACGCACTACCATCTTTCTCGTGAAAGAAAATAAAGTATTGATTGATTGATTGATTGATTGACTGTGATTGCCACACCCGTGCCTAGCAAAGCGTGTATCTGTAGTCCTTCAAATTAACTTCTATAGACGCTTTGCACACGCGCCAGATTACAGCAGCCATTGCTGACCTTCTCTTGTCTTAGCCAGAGGCCCAGCCACTGAAGCGAGCGTTGACGAGCCTCCACGAAGGCCAATACTGGGGAGGAGGAACCGGTAGAATCTAAAATGCCAATGACCTGCCCTGCTAGGGTAATGACGAAATGAAGTAAACGCAAGAAGAGGAAACAAAAGTGAAAGCCGTTTACAACTTCCTGTAACGCCGAATTGGAGCGCAGCTCTTGAGGAGGAGGAGTGGAGGGTATATTCCTCCTCCTCCCTCGTGATCATGCCTGCTAGTCCTCCTCCCCTCCTGCTCCCCCTCCCTCTCCTTTACCCCTCCCCCTGAGGTCACGTGACCCCCCCGGACCATACTAGACAATGAGGGGAGGAGGAGGAGGGCAGAGGTCCGGGGGGTCACGTGACCTCGAGGGGACGGGATCACATGACCTTGGGCGGGCCGTCACGTGACCGGCGGGGGGAGGGGAGTCACCCCCGGGGTCACGTGACCTTGGCGGGGGAGGAGGGGGAGGAGGAGGAGCGGAGGGGGAGGAGGAGGAGGGGGAGGGGCGACGCCGACGCCAACGCCGACGCCGCACAGGCTGGAAACGGGTCATGTGACCCCCTCCCCCCGAGGTCACGTGACCCGCCCGGACCATACTACACAATGAGGGGAGGAGGAGGAGGAAGAGGAGGAGGAGGGGGAGGAGGAGGAGAGGGAGGGCCGCGGTTACGCCGACGCCGACGCCGACGCCGACGGCGACGGCAACGGCGACGCCGACGGCGACGGCAACGGCGACGCCGACGGCGACGCCGACGCCGCTCAGGCTGGAAACGGGCCCCTAAGAGCTGCGCTCTAAAAACTGAAGGTCAGTTATGGCGGCGCCCATGGATGCCTGCTGCAAAGCGTCTATAGCATTAGGTGGTCCAGGAGCAGACGTTCGGTGGTCTTACTTGCCGCTGTTGCCCTTCCCAGAACTGTACCGCCTAGTTTCCAACAAGGCACGCTCATCAGACCTCGGAAGCATCGGAGACAGCGAGCGTGGGTAGGTAGGGAGACGGTGAACGTCGTCGAGACGGGTCGACGGGGACGCGCTTTGCGTGCCCGATGAGGGCGACTGATCACGGCGTCACTCGTAAAATTCGTGAGTGTTGTATCTCCGTGAAAGAACTCCGGTCGTCGTTGTACATGTAACGAGCGTCGTTGTCTTGACGTCGGTGCCGGTAAAACCGAGCGACATGTCCCAAGGTTTCGCAGTAGTAGCATGTGGGGCGCGGGAGGTAACCTTGCTGGTTGCACCCTTGGTTTGGGTCTTGGCGCCGTGGCGTTTGCGATGGTCCTGAAGGACTGGCGATAACTGCAACAGCAGGAATAAATGCGATAGACCTCATTGTATCTCCCAAGTACTGAGGCGTAACCACGAACGAGGTCACAGATAGTACTTGAGCTGGTCGGTGCGGCGTCGCCCTTGTCAACACTACAGCCTATGATGGCCTTGTCGCCAAGGGTTGAAAATATGCAGAGAGGGGACTTTTAATACCGGTCCAGTGAAGGATCACCGCTGACCATCTGTTGAATTGTTGTTTGAATCTGGGAAGACGGAGGCGAAGAAAATAAGCTTCGAGGTCCTTGCGGACGATGTCCCTGATCAACGTGACCAGTGAATGCTGCGTCAATGGAGAGGAG